TGTGTGTGTGTGTGTGTGTGTGTGTGTGTGTGTGTGTGTGTGTGTGTGTGTGTGAGAGAGACAAAAAAAGCCTTGGAAGTAACAGAAATGTTTAGTTGACAAAAATAAATGCAATTTTCCTTTTATTTTCACTGTTTTAGGTTTGACTTGACAGTAAATAGAATACTAAATGGAATAGAAGAAGGGAAGAAGAATGTGTGAAGAGGAGCCACAGGAAGTTGATAGATAGACTCGAACAACCACGCCTCCTCTTAGAGTATATGTGTGTACGGGGTAGTCGACACTGGAGGGGAAACAGGGACTCTCTGTAAACATGCCAGTCTTTTTAAGTCTCTTCCTCCTTCCCTCCTGCTGTTCTGAGGACTGTTGCTCAACTATGTTGGGTGAAGACACTGACAGCATGTTGTTTTAAGAACAGGGCGCAGGAATTCCCTCTTGGCTGTCTTTGATGATCACACGTTACATTAAATGCAAAGAAAAGAAAAACAAACACAAAAAAACATGACAAAATGTGACTCACACATACATTGTCATATACAGTACGTGAGTATTGATTACTTTCTGTTACCTTTGGATGACCTCAATACCAAATATGTAAAATATGCCTGTTAGTGATTAGCAAGCTAAGTAGAAGTTTGAGAAGAAGAGGTATTCTTACCCTGCCGTTACCTGAAGTAGCAAGAAGATAAATAGCAACAGAGACAATGTGTAGGCAGACTTTAGAGTGGGAATACTTGGTGGTTTGGTTTGTTAAGTACAGAAATACACAAGTGAGAGAGTCCGCTGCTGGTATTGATGAAATACTTACCCAGTGGGAGCATACCTGTCAATAACAGGTGCCATTCTAAGAGACTTGTGTGGTGAAATGTTCATGGTTCGTTTTTTATTTTAAAATTGGAATCCTGCTAATAATCCTCGTTTTCATTTACCTGGCAGGGGAGTCATTGCATTCCGGCAGAGCTGACCTCTGCAAAATCCCTAAATGTGAGTTTCTGGTACTGGAGGAATGCGTTTGCACGTTCCCCAGGGATGCCTGTAGCTCAGTGGTTAGAAGTTTGGCAGTTCCAGCTTTGTTGCCAGCTCCTATTGTCCATATGTCGCTTTAAACGCTATTTACAGAAATATGTATGTATTTGTTAATGTCATGTCAATAATCTAAGATGTCCCCTTGTTCCCTGTTAATCCATTTTCACATTGGTGTTTTGCAGAAACCTAGAGGTATAAAGGGATGAATCTTATTTGCCTTCAGGCAGTGTTTAGTGCTACAGGTACAATACCAAGAACAGCTGGAAGCCTGCTGGTCAGTGCCAGGAATCAATACACACAGCTTTTAATTAACAGTCAGACTTTTAACCTCAATGAGAAGCTGGCACTCTTCAGCAATTACCAGCTGACTGGTAGCAGTCTTATTCGGGTTGGATTGGGTAGGGGGATGAAGGCCATGAGTAATGGATCCCTGTGTTAGTGCAGGTTATCTTCCAGCTGCTCCAGCTGAATAAACCCTGGGATTTCTATGCATTAGCAAGTCCAGGA